ACCCCACCCATGACTCTAAACCTCTCCCTTCCAAGGGCTGGGTTTTTTCTTCCTGTCCCCAAGGCCCCCCAACCTGATCTCTATATAACTCAGCCATTTTGGGGCTACACTGATCTCTTGGCTGGCCGCACTTCTTGGTTGGCGGCTTCTCTCTTGCTCTCCCCGCCCCCTCGCCCCTTATGGCCCATGTTCATTCTGGATTCTTCCCTCTGCCTGCTATCAACACTAAAAATCTCTGCATACTTTAGGCGTAGTCATGTCCTCCTCCGTTTATTTCATTTCTTCGTTCAGTTATTAACCTCATTGTACAGACAAGGAAACGGAGGTAGGAGAGCAGTCAGAAAGTCACATGGGGAGGAGCAGAAGAAGAGATGACACACATCCCCATGGTGTCTGCTACCTTACTATTAACAATGTAGGGATTTGTTGTTATTGTTCTTCTCAGACATAGTCTTTGTGGGGGGGGGGGGCGTGCTCGAGACAGGGTCACTCTGTAGCTTTGGAGCCTGTTCTGGAACTATCTCTTGTAGACCAGGCTGGCCTCGAACTCACAGAGATCCACCTGCCTCTGCCTCCCAAGTGCTGGGATTGAAAGCGTGTGTCACTACCACCAGGCTCAGACACAGTCGTGTTGTGTCTTCCTGGTTGGCCTGAAATTTGTAGACCAAGCTGGCTTGGAAGAACTCACAGAGATCCTCCTGCCTCTGTTTCCGAAGTAAATACTGGAATTAAAGACATGCACCAGCACACTCAACCTTAAAGTATGGGATTTGGATTTTCCTGACTTTGTGACTCACGAGCACACTAGACAGGGATCATGGCAGCAACTGTGTGGCTGTCCACACTATTGATCAATTAGCAGCAACTGCGGAGCCAGGGTTGCCACAGCAACAGTCAAGGATCAAAGTGTCTAATCTGCTTGCCATCTGTTGCCCTAAGATAAACTCACTACAGGCCCCTATCACAGCAGTTCACCAGGTCTGGATTGTAGCTGGCGTAAATTTCTGTCTGGATAAGGCAAGTCTAAGCCCAGAATGGTGACACACACCTGTAACCTCAGCACCAGTAGGGTGAGGGCAGAAGACAGGAGTTCAAGACCGATCTCACCTACACAAGTTTGAGGTCGGTTCCTATCTCAGAAGCCCCCAGTAATAAAGAAAAGGAGGAAGAAGAGGAGGAGGAAGAGGAGGCTGAAACTAGCTTGTTGCCTGCTTTTATTTTGTGGGCAGAAATTAAAATTTTAACATTAATTTTGATGTTTAAGCGTCATTGATTTTTGGCACAATAAGAAATATTTTCTTTAAAAAAATAAGCCAACCATCCTATACAAGAGCTCGGTGGATTTCTGTCGGTCTCCTTCATATTTGAGAACGAGCTCACTGTCCCCGCCTCGTAAAGACCGTTGCAGCTCTCAAAGGAGTAAGAAATAACTTCGGGGCTGCAGAAAGGAGGTCACCGCTCGATGGGGGTGTCTCAGCACCGCCAAACTTCGCTCTTGATCAAGAGGGAGACCTCGGAAGGGGGAACAGGAAGTCTCTGGTTTGTACTCTAACACAGGTGGTGAGTGTGTCTTTTCCCCCCCGTTGGCTGGGATTGAGTGCAAAGGAAATGAAACAGGGAGGGGCAAACCACTTTAATGGAGAATGGAGCAGGACCTTTGTGTAAACAAAGGCTTTACTGAGCGAGGGGGGAGGACCACGGGTAAGGAAGATAAAAATACTTGAATTCCTTGTCGTAAACACAGGTTTTATAATATTTGATAGAAAAGACTCATTAATAGTTAATGTTTCTTACAAAGAGATAGTTTACTCTGAAGCCTAATTTAAGTGACCAGGAAACAGGGAGCTAGGTTACCCCAGGTTCCACGTTCTACCATGGAAGCAGTTTCATGAAGTTTTTCAGTAGCTTGAACAAAGCTGTAAATCAAGGCAGTTTAGAAATCCATCAGTGGGTACATCTGTTGCGGAGCATTCCTTTGTATGGTGTGAAGATGTTACACTGTGATCAGTTTAATAAGAACTGAATGGCCATTAGATAGGCCACACCTCCTAATCTTTTCAAATAGTGCCACTTCCTGGTGACCAAGTATTCAAATCTGTGAGCCACTGAAGAGAGGCTATGCTCATTCAAGCGCCACCCCCGGGACAGGTCTCTCTCCTCTCATTTTGGATTGGTTAACTCAGACAAAGAACGGGCAGCTGAGAGACCTGTCTAGAACATATCTGACCAGCCTGGCCCATTCAACATGCCTCCTTGTGTTTCAAGAGTATGTGTGCGTGCGCGCGCGCGTGCGCGCGCGCTCGCAGTGCCTGTGAAGGTCAGAGACCAACCTCGCCTGTCCAACCTCAGGATCGGCCCGCCTTTGGTTTCTCACCAAGGCAGCCGCTCCCTCTTTTCAGCTCTCGTCAAGCCGACAGTGAAAACATGAAAGCGTAGCCGCTCTGCCACACACAGAAAGGTGTGAAACTGCTGCTCTCACGAGCTTCTGGCGACTGCCGCACTCTAAACCACAGATGCCACACTGGCCTTGCTCCCTCATGCAGGCCCCATAATATGAGCACAGTCGAGTGCATTGTAAAAATGCATGTGTGTGAAGCAAACACAGAAAGACCGCACGCTGGTGTCAGCATGAATTATTTCTGGATGGCGAAATTTTTAATGTTCTCTATGTTCTAAATTTTTAATGGGTGAGCCTTTTTCTCATCATAGTAACGCTTTTCTTCCATAATAATATTAAGTAAATGACAAAAGTCATTAAAGGAATAAGATAGGCAGTATCTAACACAGTCTGGGTCACCCCCATTCGCTGTATCCATTGTCTTTTTCTGATACCTTTGGTCTGTGTTTGCCACCACTTTGCAAGCGCGACTGGACACTCAGCATTCCTGTTCTCTGGTCGAGTGTAAGCAAAAGGAAAGGTAGTCTTCCCTTGGGGATTCTGGGTCTCTGCAAGGGGTCAACGCTTGCCTCCTCACCTGGAACTCATTTTTCTTGACTTGTTTGGCAGATGAAGAGTTAATCACTACTTCATATAGCTATGGGAATTATTTTATTAAGCAAAGCTGCTGCTAATGAAAGATAAAAGACTATTTTTTTTCTTTTTTAGGAAAATTGATTGTGTTAGTTAGCTTTCCATTCCTGTAGCAAATACTTGGGACAATCAACTTACAAAAGTAACCGGACAGGCGCGCATCAGTGCCAGCTACTTAGCCGCGTGTCTCCCACACGCTAGGAACATACTGTTTCGCCGATGTCATCCCTTTGAGAGCTTGTTCCTTCCTTTCCTATTCATTGAGATAGACGGCCTTGTGTTGTAGTCTAGGCTGACTTCTCCTGAGGAGCTGCTGTGTCTGGCCAGAGTTTGTTTTGAGTCATGGTTTTGGAGAGTTTGGGCCCTGAATGACTGATGATTGCCCCATTCCTTTGGGTCCTGTAGCACACTCTCCTGTCATGGCTACACCTGGTACAGTAAAATCTCTCCTCTCAAGGCTACAAAGTCAAAGAGAATGAGGAAAGGATCAGAGTTCTATGGCTTCCTTTGAGGACAGACCTCCAGTGACCCAAACACCCCCCACTAGGTACTACTTCCCAATGGCTCCGTTACCTTCTAACTTTAACACATGGGCCATTGGGGAACATTTAGGATCCTAACTCTGCAGTTAGGAGCAGCAGAAGTATCTTCCCCTCAGCTGTCACAACGTTCGCAGCTGGCACTCCAATGACAAAAAGCAGATAGAAAAGAGAAAAGCGTGGCAGATATTTTGGGCACAGTTACTGTCACAGACAAAAGGGGGCCTCCTCTCCTACAGTTCTTCTGAGGAGATATGTAAGTTCTTATGATGCCACTTCACCATCAGAAAAGCAATCCCAAAGAAAGCAGACTTGAGGTCAAAGAGCTCCGATCCCACAGGCATGGTACCTGCACCTGCATGCACATGCCCCGACCCCACATACAACATATAGCTAAAATTAAAAATAAGTCTTAAAAAAAAATAAAAGGAGTTAGGCTGGGGTTGTATCTTAATCGACTTGCCGAGCAGAGACAAGGCTCTGTGTTTGAAACCAGACATAGTGCAAAAAACAAAACCAGCCGGGTGAAAGTGACACAGGCCTTTACTTCCCAACACTCGGGAAGCAAAGACAGGCAGACTCTGAGTTCTGAGTTCAAGACCAGCCTGGTCTACAGAGTGAATTCCAGGGCTGCACGGATAAACCCTGTCTTGGAAAACAAATAAAACAAAACACGCCCCAAACAAACAAACAAACAAACAAACAAAAACTTTCGCCTAAATCAAAACAATAAAGACCTTAAAAAAAAAAAGTGTCATCACCGGGTAGTGGTGGTGCTCACCTTCAATCCCTGCACTCAGGAGGCAGAGACAGGTGAACCTGGGCTACATGGTGAGTGGCAGAGCAGCCAGGGCTATTTAGCAAAATCCTATCTTAAATAAATAAACAAACAAACAAATAAATAAATAAATCAAAGACCAGAAAACAAAGAAAAGTTAAGTCTCTTGGTAACAAAATTTGAGTCCTCAACTGCTTAATGAACAGGATGAAGCAGGGATTTTCCTTAAGCCCCCAGGGAATGGAGACCCTCAATCAGATGCCTGACCTTGGGAAAGAACTCTGGGGACCAGGCACTACACTATAGTTTTGTTTTCCCATTACACTGTACCATTCTGATTTCTCTGTATTTAACAATTGACCTCTTGCCTTTCATGGCCTCCGGTTCTGGATCTGGATTGTAGGTTTTCATCCTTGGAGTCAGGGGTGTCTAGAAAATCTCTAACTTTCCTGTTCTTGGTGTAATTAGGAGGGCACAATGGAATTCCTGGTTCCACCGGGGTGGTAATGTTTTTTCTAAAGAATTACATTGTTTAGAGAGGATACCATTGTATGCATTTTCATCCTTTACAAGGGTATAAACAATCCCACACAAAATTTCCCCAACGGAAAGGCATTAATAATGAGAATCGTTAAAAATGAAAGCAAAATGGGGGCTGGAGAAGTGTGGTCTGCAATGCTGAAATGCTGTACCATTGTCAAACGGCAAGGGTCGCAGTTGTGAGCTGCTATGTGGGTATTGGGAATTGAACCTGGGTCCTAAAAAGAGAAGCTGGTGCTCTCAATTGCCAAGTCATCTCTGCAGACCCAGGTCAGGGTTTTTGAGAGTAACTGAGTCCTTCACAGCTCAATCATGCATGACCCAAGGACTTAAGGTGCTGGACACTCGTGGTCATCACAGATCCATCCGGGATGGTGGTTCTGAGTTTATTATCTCAGGACAATGAAAGTTAATGACATAGACTCACAGGAGTCTGCAAAGTGGGAACAGGCGATATTAAGAATTGTTATAAGATAGTGAGAGATTGCAGGAAAAGTGAGGAAAACACCTAAGGGAGGAGGGATTTCCAAGAGAGAAAAAAAGCCATCAGATTTCCTATGTCTAGGGGTTGTAAAAGTCATTTAAATTACATTCTATTCGTGTGTGTGTGTGTGTGTGTGTGTGTTGTGTGTACTTTGTATGTGCGGGTACACAAAGGCCAAGACATTTGCGAGGAAGTGTTAATCCCACTGGGCAAGAATAAGGGAAAACAGGAGTCTGGGACACAGTGTGCGGTGTGTGTCACCTGTCTACTGCCTGCCTGTGATGATGTCCCAGAAAGGAAATCTACAGAGGTTTCTCCTGGCTCAGGGAGGTCTGAAGTACTTCATTTCTTAAGTCTCTCCTTACGACTAGATAAGAGAAACTCCTAGAAGACTTCTTCCAGCATCTGCTGGATTTCATGTGTCTTCCAATTAAAATATCTTTTTTTTTATCAACTCTGAGATTCAAGGAGGGGGGTCTACATCAGCCAACCTTGAACGCCATTTGGAGAAGAGATCCTGGAGACCGCAAATGTTCAGACACCAGGCCATGCACTTTGGAGAAGCTCGAAGCTGGGGTGGGTATGAGAACTAACAGCCCATTTAGTCTTCTTATAAATATGTATTTACGGTGTGTGTGTCTGTGTGTGGGATGTACAGGCGTACGGGTGCTGTGAGAGGCACAGGAGGACATTGGATACCCTGGAGCTGAAATTATGTGTTCTAGGCAGTTGTGAGACTCTGGATGGAAGTGGGTAGGAACTGAGCCTGGGTCCTCAGGAACTGAGCCTGGGTCCTCCACAGGAGCATCAAGTCCTCTTAACGATTGAATCATCTTTCCAGTCAAAAAAGAGTTAAGTTTTCATTGCTTTAGACAGGGTCTCATAATGTAGCCCTGGCTGACCTGGAACTTACTATGTAGATAGGCTAGCCTCAAACTCAAAGGCCACCATGACCCCAGTCCATCTCTTTTTCACGAGTCCCTTGTGACTGTTTTTCCACGTGCCACTTGTAAGAGCCTCACTCAGAAGGACTCAGTGCCTACCACAAACAGCAAAGCCCACCGTTCACTCCTGACTCTACTCAACTTGAGTGGTTATCATTGCCTGAAAAGCAAGAACAGCTGCTGCTACTTCCTCTTCTCTCCTCCTCCTCCCTCTCCTCTTTCTTCTTTTTAAATCTGCGAGATCTCCGCTGCCCCCAGTAACCACACATGGGAAATTCTCATGTTGATTTAAGAGCTGTGCGTTAGGGCTCATTCCTCCAATGCCACTTGACTTACCAAGGAAACAACCACACAGAAGATCCAGGGTTTGTTCCAAGGCTGGGGGACCAATGCTCCTCACACAACAGACACCGTTCTGGAGGAGTGGAAACCTGGAATGGTGTCGGTGGTCTCAGCTTTCTCTGTGGCCTATATCAGACACGAGAATCCAGCCGGCCATTATGAATGAAACCATGATTCCTGAAGGATCCCATAGCCTGCGGCGATGCATTCGGAATAAATGATGGGCAAGAGTGCCTCGGCACTCAATGGGCAAGAACGTTGCAGAGTGTTGGGATATTTCGTTCTATAGGAAAGGACAACAAACGTGTCCATGATAGGCCTGTGGGGAAGCCGGCCATCCCTGAAGCAAAGGCTGGTCACAGCAGCTGCAGGGCAGCTTCAGCAGCTGCCTGGGAATGACATTATTTTGGGGGAGCATAGGACCATTCTGCTTTTTAATGTCTGATTTCTGTGTATCAATACCCTCCCCTGTGTTTCTCTTAAGGACCTTCAGTCTCTGCAGGAACACACTCCTCCAGTCCGACCTCTCGACGAAGGTGAGTAGTTCACACAACATGACCATTATTAGGTGTTGGTGTAAATCCTGAGAGCCCAGGCTCAGGGGGAGGCAGTGGCCTAATTACTGACAGCTGTTAGAGCCTTGTTTCTCTGCATTTTAGTTTCCCCAGCAGAGGGGCACAGACATTGCCAGCATTAACATTTAATTTTGATTTAGTAAGCCTGCACAGGCTGGGCCAGCAAAACACAGCCTGTTGCCTATAAAGGCTCAACCGCTCTTGAGGTTATTCTAAACTGCACCCGCTCTGGCCCAAGCGATGGGCAGAGGAAGGTTTTCAGGGTCACCCCAGTTTCTGAATGCTTCTGCGGAATTCTTGAAAGTGGAACCAAAGAGCTATGCTAGCCCCTGGAATAATTTCCAAATACAGCTTCCCTGAGGTTGTACAGAGAGAAGAGCAAACCCTAAGTTAGCTATCCGGGCTATGACAGTGGTCTAAGCAGAACATCTGGCGCTCTATTGGAAGATGGCAAAGACTCTCCTGACAAACTTTGGACAGACCCTTTCCCAGTCTGTCTCAACTTGGGTCTAAAAGTGACACATGATTTTACACACCCGCATTCCCACTCACGGAAACACTTACTTAACACAGTTTCTAAGCTCCTCCTCTTTTTTTTTTTTTTAAACTTATTTCCTTCTTTGGTTAAGTTTTCTTTATTTATTTGTGTTTTATATACGAGTGCGCCAGAAGAGGGCACCAGATCTCATAACAGATGGTTGTGAGCCACCATGTGGTTGCCAGGAATCGAACTCAGGACCTCTGGAAGAGCAGCCAGTGCTCTTAACTGCTGAGCCACTTCTCCAGCTCCCAGCTCCTCTTAAAATGTCTGTATGACAAAGACTTCTGTAATTCTATTCCAGCTAAACCCGGTAGGAGATGAGCCTTAGAATGAATGGCTCCTTTAGAAAAACTTGCAGTTGTACATCCCTTTCTTCCACTCTGAGAGGATGATCTTCACACACACACACACAGACACACACACGCACACACGCACACACACACACACTCGTGTATGGACTCTCTCGCACATGTACATGCAAACACACAGGCTCGCGATGTTGTTTTTAGGACCTTGGCGACTTTAGAAGTGCCAGCATGCAGGGAACCAGCTCCTGCTCTCAGCTTCCAGTGTGTGGTTCCAGCTTCCCCAGTCACCTCCTGTCCACAGGGCCTGACGGGGCTGCTTTTCCCCCAGGGAAGTACCAGTTAACACACTGTTAGCTGGGCCCAAGCCTCCACTTGTGCCTTACCTGACTCCCTCAGGTCCCCGCACACAGAGGGGCTGAGTTGAGTCCCCTGCTGTTTTTTATCCTTTGCAATGGGGTTAGCACAGAGCCCACTGTTTGGTTCACATACAGTGCTTTCACTAGTGCCCAGCTTTCCCCGACAGATGGGTTCATCTAGAGAGACCATGACTTTAAGAAGGCCGAGGTTATGAACTTAATCTCCATATGGTCCTGCCTGTATTGTGCTCATAAGTGCCGCCTCTCAGCTGTTTCGCAGATGACTTTCATCGATCACTGGGACAGCAGAGGAAAGGACAGAGGTGGCTCGGCACAAACCACGTTCCTTTCGGGTTTCTCGTGACTGTTTAAGAATCCAGTGCACAGATGGTGCATCATTGCCCCTTTTATGTACCTCAGCTGGGAGAGCACCTAGGCTCTCTCTGCAGACACCTTTCTCGTGATTCGTCACAAATGCTCGACGTTCTCCTGCTTTTTCAGCATCTCTGTCGTGATCCAGCTCTTCCACAGTCCCTTTCCAGACACTCTGCCCTTCTCTGCACGCAGTCTGCCTCACAAAGAATTTGTCTTCCACGCCCTGGCTTACTTTGTTCACACCACAGCTTGCCGTTCATGGACTTGTGTTTTACGACATCCCAAGGAAATGAGGACAAGATAGCCCCCCTCTTTTGTTTGATGCTGTGGCTAGTATCAGGCTAACTGTACTGTGACTATCATATTCAGTAAGATGCACTTAAATGTTTTCATTGAGTTCCAAGTGACCTTGACAAATTTCAGCAAAATTATGTCGAATTCCTTCATCAATTCAAGGGCAGACTCTAGACGTTTATTATAATCTTCAAAATTCTTACCAGTTTAAACACTCAAATTAGTATGTGATTGTACTTTTTATAGGGATGTCTATTGCCTGTGAATTTCCCCCCGTTTATGTAATCATAAGAGTAACACATTTAACCACAAAACCTCCAGTTAATAAAGTTCATTTCGGCCTCTCCTTCCTTCCTTCCTTCCTTCCTTCCTTCCTTCCTTCCTTCCTTCCTTCCTTCCTTCCTTCCTTCCTTCTTTCCTTCCTTCTTTTCTTCCTTCCTTTTTCCTTCCTCTTTCCTCCTTCCTCCTCTTCCTTCTTCTTTTTTTTGTTTTTGTTTGTGACAGGGTTTCTCTGTAGCTTTGTAGCCTGAACTGGAGCTCACTCTGTAGACCAGACTGGTCTCAAACTCACAGAGATCTTCCTGTCTCTACCTCCCAAGTACTGAGATTAAAGGCAAGCTCCACTACGATCCAGCTCGTTCCTTTTCTCAAGGGTCTCACAATGTTGCCTTAGCTGACCTGGAACTTGCTAATGTAGACCAAGCTGGCCTCAAACCACAGAAATCCTCCTGCCTCTGTCACCTGAGTTATAGTATTAATAGCACCACACCTGGCATTATTTTTATTTTTAAATTTTATGTGTGTGGGTATTCTGCCTGCATGTATGTCTGTGTAGCCCATGTATGCCTGGAGCCCATGTAGGACATAGAGGGCATTGGATCTGCTGAAACTGGAGTTACTAACGGGTGTGAGCTGCCATGTGGATGCTGGGGTTTGAACCCCAGTTCTCGGGAAAAGCAGCCAGTGCTCTTAACCACTGAGTCATCTTTTAGGACAACATTGGGTTCTTTACATGTAAGCTTCTGTTAGATTACTTTTCATAACTTTATGAATACCTTTTTAATAATAATGTACTTTCTGCCCATTTTAAAGAAGGGAAAATATCTTTGAGGAGATGTCCTGTACCAGATGGCTCCTAAAACCCCAAGGAAACCAGCCACTCAAGAGACCTGAAGAATTCCCTGCTTCAGGAGAGCAGCGCCATAACAAAAGCTGCTGAGAATGTGGTGGGGTGAGGTGTGCCAAGCTGGTAGTCAGATTGGCAGTGTCATCCATGGGTATCAGCTTTGGAGGCATGAAAGATTCAAGGGTGAAGGGGTTGTAGATCTGTCCTTCATGGTTTCAGAAAGCTTCTGAGGCCAGGCAACATGTAACAGGGATGAAATTCCTGCAAGGTTGTGAGAGGCCATGTGTGAAGCGGGGTTGGGGTAAGGATCCCAAGACACTAGAGATAGCAGAGCTATGAGAGAGCTGCATATAGCCAAGGAGAGTTTTATATAGCCAAGGAGAGCTACATATAGCCAAGGAGAGCTGCATATAGCCAAGGAGAGGTACATATAGCCAAGGAGAGCTATATATAGCCAAGGAGAACTGCATATAGCCAAGGAGAGCTACATATAGCCAAAGAGAGGTACATATAGCCAAGGAGAGTTATATATAGCCAAGGAGAGGTACATATAGCCAAGGAGAGCTATATATAGCCAAGGAGAGCTGCATATAGCCAAGGAGAGGTACATATAGCCAAGAAGAGCTATATATAGCCAAGGAGAGCTACATATAGGGAGTGGAGCCAGCTCAGGAGAGAAGCTGTGTATATAGAAAGCAATACATAAATAACTAAAAAGACTGAACATAAAGAAAACAACCCAATTAAAGGTGGGGACTAAGCAGGAATTTCTCCAATGATGAAACGCAATGGCTGAGAAACACTTAAAGAAACACTCCTCCATTGTCGGCGTTACTGTAACTATATAACCACTATGGACGTCAGTGTGGCAGTTCCTTAGGAATCTAGTGTAAAAGGAAACTGTGCTTTCATTTCCCGGCTGTCCAGACTCAAATAATCACACAAAACTATATTAATTACAACACTGTTTGGCCAAAGGCTCAGGCATATTTCTTGCTAGCTCCTATATCTTAAATTAACCCATTTCTATTATTTTTTTATTTTACCATGAGGCTTATGGTTTGTTACCTCACAACTTGCTTCTTGGGTGGTTGCATGGCATCTGTCTAACTCTGCCTTCTTTCTCCCTGCATTCATTCTAGCTATATTCTGCCCTACCATAGGCCAAAGCAGCTTCTTCATTAACCAATGGCAATAAAACATATTCACAGCATACAAAGGGGAATCTCATATCAACCTAGGGATAGATCTACCTCAAGATTCCGCTGTGCCACTCTTGGACATACACCCAAAGGCCCCTGAACCTTACCACAGAGGTGCTTACTCAGCCATGTTCAATACTGCTCTATTCATAATTGCCAGGGATTGGAAGCTGCCTAGATTTCCATTAACTGATGAATGGATAATGAAGTGTGATACATTTCATTGTGACAATGTGATAATTCATACAACAGCATACTATTCAGGTATAGAAAAATGAAATTATGAGGGAGGAACTGAGTTCATTTCCCAGCACCCACATTAGGCAGCTCACAACTACCTGGAACTCTAATTCTAGGGACATAAAATGCACTGATCTCCGTGAGCACCTGCATGCACATGCAAGTACACACATGCACATAAGTAATGACAAAAATATATCTTCAAAAATGAAATTATAAATTCATAGGTAAATGGATGGAACTAGAAAAAAATCATTCCGCTTGAGGTAACCCAGATCCAATAGACAAATATTGTATGTTTTCTCTTATGCATAGATGTTGAATTTTAAGGTTTTGATATGTATACCATAATCTGAATAACCACAGAGGTTAGGTACCTAATAAGGGAAGAGGGTGAAGGAGAGAATCTCCCAAGGAAGGGGAAATAGAATTCTTCATTATGGAGAGACAAAGGGGGAAACTACAATAGATTAAATAGGGAGGGGGCAGAAGAGAAAGGGAAAGGAGGAATATGGGAGGGCGTTTGAAAAGCCACGTGGAAACCTACTACTGTAGAAGCTTCCTAAAATATGTTATTTGTGAAAGGAATATAAATGGAGTCACCATTTATAGGGAGAAAATGCCCCCAACTAAATATCATAAGACACCAAGTAAAATCTCCAGTGCCAGGAGTGGGTCACATCTTGTTGAGTCATTTGCGAGAAGGATCCTGTCAAACCACCTAAACATTACAGGCTATGCCAGAGTTATTGATTGCTCTAACATTTTCCCCCACCATGAGGGGTCACCCGTTTAATCATTTGCCCTACCTACCACCCACATCCCTGTCTTCTGAAAACTCAAACTCAAACCCTGGCAAGCGGGTAGAGTGGGGTAGGACAGGGCTACACGCTGGACTGCTAAGAACACTCCGAGGGATTGTTTTACTTGAGTAGGCAGTGGGGACCGCCATGCTTTGATCCTGAAGCTACAAATGACGCCAGTCTAAGCGCAGTCTGACACAGGGGAGGCGGCCAGCACTGATGAGAAGCAGCCCTGCTTACAGCTGCCCTTAGGCATGTCTGTGGCTGCCAATAGTCCCAGGATCTGGTCAGTGAAGGACTCTGGCCAGCTTGAGCCGGGCAAGTGTGGCTCTGACAGGCTTTCCTTGCCCTTCTTGCCCATCCCCTCTGCCTTGCTAAAGCTGTTGGATTACATTTTTAAAGCTCTCCACTAAGACCTATTCCCTTCTTTAGCCACCTTCTCCTCCTGAGGCCGACTACCACAATCAAAAACCCGCTTTCGGCTCACCTAATTCACCTGTCCAATCAGAATGAAACACTTCATCCTAACATGGGGTTTTCCTTTGCACCTTTATAAACTGCCCTTTGCCTCTGTGCCACGTCGGTCTCCTCTCTAGCCAGCCCTGTGTCCCTGTGGGACGAATATCCCTTCCCCATCTCCCTCGTTCCCTTCTCCTTTTCCCTCCTCTACCTCCTGTCTTTGTCTCTGACTCCTTGCCCTCGGTCCTTTTGGGGCAAATGAACCTCTGTGCTGAGAACTTGGTCTCGGGAGTCTTGTGCCGGTCCTTTGAACAGTGTTCTATAATAAGTGCGTGGGCACCATTGTACTACACGGATCTGGATCTCTGTTTAGCAATTAGCAGTCAAGGGCCTTGGAAGGGGCTTTAACCCTTGCTCACCCTGCCACGGGGACAACAGCAGTACCTGTGTTACCGTTCTGGGATGTTGCTGGTTACTTTACATGAGCAGCCGTTACTGGCACACAGTAAGTGCTCTCCTGTAAGTACAATGCTGCTCTCTACTGTGCTAGGACACAGAACATGGCTGTGAACCCCTCTGAAAAGCGTTCCAACGCAAGTCGCTCAGGTGATCAGAGCTGACCCAAACCATCCAGTGTTTGCAATGCTGGCTGCATTTCCCTTACCCTGAGCTTAGCTGCTAAAACCATTTCTAATCTTTATTTTTATTTTATGTGTGTGGGTGTTTTGCCTGCAGATATGCCATGCATATGCAGTGCCCATGGAGACCAGAAGGGGCATCAGATCCCCTGGGGTCAGAGTTATGGATGGTTGTGAGCTGCCATGTGGGTGCTAGGAACCCAAGCCCAGTCCTCTGCAGGGACAGCCAGTGCTCTTAGGCACCGAGTCCCTCTGCAGCCCCAGGTTAGTTATTTTTCACTACAATTCTGATAAAGGAAAGTTGTATTTAAAGTCATTCTTGGAAAAAAAATCATTTCTGGTTAATCTTGGTGTGTGGCTTTTTTAAAAAGTTATTTGCAGGTTTTTTAAATAATAAAGTTTATAAAATTTGAAAACAGGCTGTTCGAATTGTTAATGCAGTTCTTTCCCACAGACATTCTTATTCTGTGAGCTGTGGTAGATGCTGTGTGGTGCACACACATGATCAGTAAGAGGGTCATATGCTCTTAAAGCGGTAGTAAAAAAGAAAAAAACAAAAGCCTGTAATACTTAGAGCAGAGGGCATCCTGTGGATGAGTATGGAGTACTTTCATAGAGATCGGATTTGAAAGCTTCCAGCTGGCACTAGAAGCACACTACTATTTTCAAATAGTGGAAATAACACACACCAGTTAGGACACACGGGGTGGGGTTGGGGGGGTGACAAGACAAGCTCTGGTGACTGTGGTCCAATGTGACGAGATGAGAGAGATGGCTGGGCACACAACTCCCATCAGAGCGTGTTTACTGAGTTTTCTGTCCCAAAGAAATCACACAGAGGTCTACATTAACTATAAACTGATTGGCCCATTAGTTCAGGCTTCTTATTAACTCTTATAACTTATATTAGCCCATTATTCTTGTCTATGTTAGCTACGTGACTTGGTATTCAGCAAGGCAGTAACATCTTACTTCTTCTGTGGCTGGGTCACGACTGCAGACTAGGATTCTTACCAGAATTCTCCTGTTCTCATTGACCCACCTCTACTTCCTGTCTGGTTGTCCCGCCTATACTTCTTGCCTAGCTACTGGCCAATCAGTGTTTATTTAAAATATAATTGACAGAATATAGATCATTGTCCCACACCAAGAGCGTGTGGTTAGCTGGCACAAAACACTGGGTTAAAGGTAGAAAAACAGTGAAAGATATGACCAGAATGCTAGGCTGGGTGTGTAGAGGACACAGTGCACAGAAAGCTAGGCTGG